TGTGTGTGTGTGTGTGTGTGTGTGTGTGTGAGTTGGAGTTTCACTCTGTCGTCCAGGCTGGAGTGTAGTGGCACATTCCTGGCCACCCCAGCATCAACTTGCTGGGCTCTAGCGATCCTTTCGCCTCAGCCTTCCAAGTAGCTGGAATTACAGGTACACGCTACCACTCCTGACTACTTTTTTGATTTTTTATTGTAGAGACGAGGTCTTGCCAAGGTACCTGGGCTGGTCTCTAGCCCATGGGCTCAGGCAATCCACTCGCATACATATTTTTAGCTCTACTCATACAGTAGGCTTTCAGATATTTGGCTTTAACATATTATAATCTGATCAGTCTCCTAGTTATTATGTTTATAATTAACTTTTCATTTTAATTGGTTAACTTAGCTTTTCGACATTTGACTTGAAAATTAGTTTGTGTGAAGGACAAAAAGGGTAAAATAATATGGATAGAATATTTAGATACATATATGATACTACTGAAGGTTTTATCACATTTGCTAAGTTCAAATGTATTGAATTGATGCTTTGATCTTATGAGTTTTTTAATGAGAATTTAAATGTGGCAAATACTTTTAAGAGAAGTGTGTACCTTTTAAAAATATTTTGTGAGCCGGGCTCGGTGGCTCAGCCTGTAATCCCGCGCCTTTGGGAGGCTGAGGTGAGTGAATTGCCTGAGCCCGCGGGTTCGAGACCCGCCTGGGCAGTGAGACCTCATCTCTACAATAAATCAAAAAATCAGCTGGGTGTGGTGGCGCATGCCTGTAATTCCGGCTACTCGGAAGGCTGAGGCGGAAGGATCGCTGGAGCCCAGCAGGCCGAGGCTGCGGTGGCCGGGAGCGGCCACTGCACTCCAGTCTGGACGACAGAGTGAGACTCCAACTCATAAAAAAAAAAAAAATCCAGTGTGCTTTCACCTTAGACCATGCTTATCTCATTACTTTCTATATATATTTTTCTAAACCACTTGAAAGTAAGTTGCAGCATGTACTTTCCTTTTTTTTTCCTTCCCCTGAGTCAGTCTCACTTTATCACCAAGACTGGAGTGCAGTGGCACACTCATCGCCACCACATTCTCAACCTGCTGGGCTCAGGTGATCCTTCAGAGTAGCTGAAACCACAGACACGCACCACCATCCCCAGCTCATTTTTTTTTTTTTTTTATTGTAGAGATAAGGTCTCGCCAAGTTGCCTGGGCTGGTCTCGAGCTCGTGGGCTCAGGCAATCCACTCATCTCGGCCTTCCAAAGTGCTGGGATTACAGGCTGAGTCACCAAGCCCAGCCAGATTTTCTTTTTTTTTTTGAGTTGGAGTCTCATTCTGTCACCCAGACTGGAGTGCAGTGGCCGCTCTCGGCCACCGCAGCCTCAACCTACGGGGCTCCGGCGATCCTTCTGCCTCAGCCTTCCAAGTAGCTGGTACTACAGGCGCGCGCTACCACGCCCGGCTAATTTTTGATTTATTGTAGAGATGAGGTCTTGCCAAGTTGCCCAGGTGGGTCTCGAACCCCCGGGCTCAGGCAATCCACTCACCTCAGCCTCCCAAAGGTGCAGGATTACAGGCTGAGCCACCGAGCCTGGCGCCAGATTTTCTTTTACTAAACCAATTGGTGAAAAATAATTCAGAACTCAAAGTCAAATGTTTTTGGTTAAGGTCATGAAAGACAGAAACTGAGTAGCTTCTCCAAATTAAGGGAGATTAAAGAAAGGTGACAGATTTGACAAGACAAATGTAATGTGTGAGCCTGGATGGATATGAAACTTTTTTTTTCTATTTAATCATATTATTAAAACAGCACTAATAGAAATGAAAGCTGGGGTTGCTGTGAGTGTGCATGCCATTGCACTCCAGTCTGGGTGAAGGAGTGAGACTCCAACTCAAAAAAAAAAATCTACTATTTTGGGGGACTGGAAGAGAGAAATGTTTCCTTTCATGTTTGGCCAAATTATCTAAAACAAAGCTAAGAACAAATGGCCCATTTGCAAAGACCTCTTTTATTTATTTTTATTTTTGAGTTGGAGTCTCACTCTGTCGCCCAGGCTGGAGTGCAGTGGCACGCTCATGGACACCGCGACCTTGATCTACTGGACTCGGGTGATCCTTCCACCTCAGCCTTCCAAGTATCTGGAACCACAGGCATGTGCCACCACAGCTGGTTAATTTTTTAATTTATTGTAGAAATGAGTTCTTGCCAGGTTGCCCAGGCTAGTCTCGAACCGCTGGTCTCAAGCAATCCTCTCGTCTCCACTTCCCAAAGTGCTGGGATTACAGGCGTGAGCCACCGGGCCTGGCTCTTTTTCTTGATCATATTATTCTAGTGTTTCCTTTTTTATATTTATTTGTAGCACCCACCAGGCAATGGCTCATGCGTGTAATCCCAGTCCTCTGAGAGGCCAAGGTGGGAGGATTGCCTGAGCCCAGGAGTTGGGAACCAGACTAGGAAACACAGCCAGACCTTGTCTCTACAAAAATTATAAATAAATAAATAAACATGGTGGTACATGCCTGTAGTCCCAGCTACTGGGGTGGCTGTGGACCACTCAGAGATAGGAATGGGGGCGGGGGAGGGCAGTCGCGGGTCATATCAGAGCCAGAATAAAGCGATGAGGAAGATTTCCTGAGCCCAGGAGGTTGAGGCTGCAGTGAGCCATGACTGTGCCACTACACTCCAGTCTGGGCAACAGAGTGAGACCCCCGACACAAAAAAATTTTATTTATAGCTATAAATTTTATTTATAGCACCCATTACCTCGCAGATTTGTTGTTTGAATGTTTGTTGTTGATGTCCTGAACTAGAATATGAACTCAAAGATAGGCAGGAACTTCATCAGTGTTCTCCCAGAGCCCAGCACAGTGCCTGGCACTTACTAAGTGATCAGTAAATAAACATCTGTTGAATGAATGAGAAATGCCTCTTGGACTAGCTTAAAGGCGCTGAGATGGGTAGTGGAGGCGAGAGGGAGATCCCTTGAAGATGGGACTTGACTGTGAGCAACGAGCAGCCAGAGCTTTCTGATCTGCAGGGACCCGCCTGGAGGCCCAAAGGTCAGTAAGATTGCCACGGTAAGATGTTTTTGGACTGCAGCTGAGCAATGTCGGGGGCCCGGCACCTCAAAGATATCATGAAACCAGCCAGGCTCGGTGGCTCAGCCTGTAATCCCGCGCCTTGGGAGGCTAAGGTGAATGAATTGCCTGAGCCCGTGGGTTCCAGACCCGCCTGGGCAACTTGGTGAGACCTCATCTCTACAATAAATCAAAAATTTAGCCAGTTGTGGTAGCGCACACCCGTAGTTCCAGCTACTTGGAAGGCTGAGGCGGAAGGATCGCCAAAGCCCAGCAGGTCGAGGCTACGGTGACTGGGAGTGGCCACTGCACTCTAGTCTGGGTGGCAGAGTGAGACTCCAACT